ACAAGTTTGTCGGACTCATAAACACGTTTGATGCCCGATTTTCCCAAGAGATTGCCATTAACTAGGTTCCTATTCATATCCGGAACATGTAGTACATTAGTTAGAGTAACGGTTTTCCCAGAAGTGAAGATAATGTCTACACTTCCTTTTCCAAACACCTTAGACCGCATCTCGTTACCCATTTGAATCTCTTGTTCTCCATCCACTTCTTGATAAGTTTTGAACAAAGATTTATCATATGATACATGTACCGTAGCACAAGTATCATACCAGCACCCGAGAACATTTCCTTTGATTGCGTTTACTTCACTTATGGTGGCCACAATTTTGCCATCTTGGATGAAATTCACTTTGACCTCGAAGTTGTTTTGTTTTCGGTGCCTACAATCCGTGGCATAGTGACCAGATTTTCCACACACAAAACAACCTCCTTTCTTCTTCTTCTTGGACTTGTTAAAGTTCCTAGAATGCTTCATTTTGTTAGATTTTGTTGGCGGTTCTATTTTTTCCACAGCATTTGCTTTAGAAGAGCCCCCATGAGAATTTTCAATTTTATCACGTATTCTCGACTCCTATTCGATTCGAAGATGTTTTTGCAGTTTTTCCAAAGAATAATCTTCAGAACTATGCATGATCTTTTTTCGGTATCCTTTCCAAGTTCCGGAAAGTTTGGCAATTATAGCCCCCACTTGAAAGATCTTCGGTATATCAATTTTTGCCGCATTTAATTTGTTGACAGTCACTTGCAACTCATGCACTTGGGGAAGAAGTGGGATGTTTTCTAAGAATTTGAAATCAAAATACTTGGAAATCAAAAATTTCTTTGTACCTTCTTCTTCCGCCTTGTAATTACTTTCCAATGCTTTCCAGATTTCTTTCGCCAAAGTTGTATTGGTGTATAGATCATACAAACGATTCGACAATGCATTCAAGATGTGGCCACGGCAAATCAATTCATCTTCTTAGCATTTTTGTCTCTCGATCTTGATTGCTTCGGATTCTCCATTCGTTGGTTCCGGCAAAGGCGCCAAATTTGGATCAAGAATAAAAAAAATCTTCAATGCCGTTAGGAGGAATTTCAACTTGTCTTGCCATCGCGTGAAGTTAGTCCCGTCAAAGCGATCCAATCTCACCAGATCTTGATTCATGAGTTTGATGGTTTCCATAGTTATATCATTCTTCATCGCAAAATATAGTTTGAGATTATTGAAAAATAAGGGGTTGGAGAAGAAACAACAATAAAATTATAGAACAAAATGAATAGAAATCACGAAATACGTTAAGAACGAATTTGAGGTTTGAACACGGGATCGTTGTCCTCAAACTATATTTGCCCCCTCTCCATATGAATGAGATGCTTAAGGGTGTTATTGCAAATGGTTTGAAGGATTTTAACAAGTCTTGATGCAGAAAATAACAGAATACGAGAAGTTTTCCGTTAAAACTTGATGAACACAATAAAGAAGAAATGAATATGAGTTATAACAAAGATTTGATTAATTGTGGAACAATATATGAATTTCAAGATGTTTTTCTTGTTTGTAATGTCTTTGTATTGATTATTCATCACCTATTTATAGGTCTCAATCAATAAATCACGAAATGGTGTCAAAACAAGATGAAAAGTGACAACTTTTAATCCAAAACAGCTCCCAAGTTTCAAATTGAAAAACTAGCCAACAGCTATTTTTTAATACTATGCGTACGTATAGTATAAACCGTGTGTACACATAGTTGAAGCAAAATTTAATTCTGATTTTGTCAAAACACATCTCGTGTACGCACAAAAATAAGTCTGTACGTACGTATAGGCAAAAAATCAAAAATTTCATTTTTCAATTTCTTTTGATTCTACCAATTCCACAATTGAGCCCAACAATTAGTTTATTATCATTCCATTGATTTTGAACAAATATTCAATAGGGGTTCTGGGATGGTTGGGTGGTGGTAGTGTCGATGGTTGTGGTGAGTTATTGACGGTGATGGTGGCACTGGGGAAGCAGTTCATATGGTGGTAGTGTTGGCGGAGACAATATGATTTTGTTGGCTTTTAGGTGTTTTTTGCTTGCAGCGATGTTAGTGGTGAACTTTGGTGTTGGAAAGGTGGTATGATGATGAATCTGGCATGGTCGACAGTGGTGGTTGCAAACTGTTGTCGTGCATGTGGTGTTGGTGGCGATGACGACGATCGAGTGGGTCCAAAAATGTTTTTTGTTTGATTGTGACCAATAAGTTGTGTAGTTTGTGACCAATGTACAATATGTGATCTAAAAAATGTGACAGTGACTCACAAATTAGTAAGTTGTGATCGAGAAATAACTCGTTACCAATTAATTTGATAATTTGTGACCGTTAAATAAATTATAACTTATAAAATTTGCAATTTGTGATCAATGAACTTTTTGATTTTGTTACCGATGAGTAAATTGTGATCTATACAATTTTTGATTTACAATTGAAAAATAAATTATGATTTATAAAATTTTTTATTTGTGATCGAAAAATAATTTGTGACCTAAAAATTTTTTAAATTGTGATCGAGAAAAAATAATAAATAAATGATTAATTAAATAATTTGTGATCAAATTATATGAAATTGCCACTTTATTATATTAATTAATAAAATACATTTTTTATTATTTATTTTATAAATAAAATTTAATAAAATTTAATTTTTGAAATTTTAAACATTATTTCTTAGTTTTGAAATTTGTCATACTTGAATTTTTAAATATGAAATTCAACAAAACCAGTAACAAGATTGACTTAGGAAAGCAAGTCAGCAACCAGGTACAAATATATTTAGGTCACATATCTATATAATTTGGTCACAACTTAACAATTTAATGAATCACTTATTATTTTTTGGTCACAAATCAAAAATTTTATGTCAAAAATTATTTTACGATCACAATTCCAAAATTTTATAGGTCACAGTTTGTTTATTGGTCACAAATCAAAAAATTAAGTAGTCACGGATTAATCTTTAGTCACAACTAATCAAATTATTGGTCACAGATCGAAAATTTTATAAGTCACATATTATTCTTAGGTCACGAATAAAAAATTTTATAAGTCGCGGGATAATTTTTTGTCACAGTTATCTAATTAATTAGTCACGAATTAATTTTTAATCACAAATTATCAAATTATTGATCACAACTTATTTCTTGGTCACAAATCAAAATTTTTATAAGTCACATGATAATTTTTGATTGCAAATTCACAAAATTTATAGGTCACATATTCAAAAATATTATTGATCACAACGTATTTACTCATTGCAAATTATTGAATTAATTGATCACAATTATTTTTTTCAATCATAATTTAATAAAAAGTGGGTCACAATCGGAAGTCACAATCACAATTTTCAGGTCACGATTAACTTTACGATCACAACTTAATCAATTGTGAGTCACAATCAGAGGTCACAGTCACAATTATCAGGTTACATATCCAATTATTAATAGCAATCACGTAGATAATTGGTCACTACCATTCAAACGGTCACAGATCAAAAATCACAATTTACTTATAGGTACATATCACTAATATTATAGGTCACAACAATCACAATTTATTAATTTTTGGGTCACATATTATTTTTTAGTCACAATTTATCTTTTTCATTGATCACGCATTATTTATTTTATTTATTGGTCACTGATTAATCAATTCACTAGTCACAATTGACCAAATAATATGTGACCACCACTTCCAACAACACTACCACCACCGTGACCACCACCACACTGTTCACAAATTAATTAATCACATATTCAATTATTAGTCACAGTCAATCAAACTGCCTCAACCACCGCCATGACCACCATAAGCCACCACCATCACCAACTATGAGTCAGAGACACAATTTTTCAAGTCACATTTCCAATATTTTTCACAATCAACCAAACCGCCATGACCACCACAGCCACCGCCAACGCCAATCCACCAAATCGTGCAGATCACCACCACCAACCCACCGACGTTGCACACAATCCACCCAGCCTCACGCCATTGCCACCGCCACCAATCCACAACCAAAACAACAACCTGCAACCACCACCCAAAAGGGTCACAAACCCCACCACCCGTAATCACCACACCACTGTCATGAGTCACGACCACCACCACAACCTTGCAATCTGTAACAAAACAGAAAACCTTCAGGCCACACGTCCAATGCAAGTCACAAATCGAGAGTCACAGGCGCAGTTACCATCACCACCGCACGACCACCACAACCCACACCAGAAAAATCCCCAAATCTTACAATGGACTCCACCACCACCTATCAACCACCACCACCCAACACACCTTTGTTTCTCCTCCACCACAGACCACATAGATCGAAACGAAAAACTACAATGAGGCAGCGAGGCAGCGCAGACCACCGCAACAACATCACCTCACCGAGCCTCTCTACCATCCACAAACCACCATCGCTACTGTAGATCCCATAGTAGATCGAATCAAAAAATTAAAATGAGGCAACGATGCGGCGAGGACCACTGCAACAACACCGCCTCGTTGCTGCGTTGCGCGCGGAGGAGCCTCTCTACTTCGTCTTGCTGCGAGTCAATAGCCTTGTCTCCGCCGGTGGAGGGAAGTGCCATTGGAGCCTGGGGGAAGAAATTTAGAGAGAGAAAGGGAGAGGAGAGAATGGAGGGCTGTCGACTGTGGGAGAAATGTAGAAGGAGAGGCGACGGCGTGAAATTGAGGAGGAATTAGGTTTTGTGAGTTTAAATTTTTATTTTATTAAAATATTAATTAGAATAAAATTTCTGATTTTAGAAATATTAAACTTGTCCTCTGATTTTAGAATTGAGGATTTCAATGATGGGTTTTGTGTAATTACCACTTTTAATTATTATTATTTTTAATCGGTCCATTCAAATTAAACTACAGCCCATGTTCTATTTGGTGATTGCCCGCGTCTAACAACAGCCCAAGTCCAAAACAAAAGTGTTAAAAACCAATAGCCCCGCCAAATCAAAAACCTACCGAACTCTCTCGCTCTACTTTTCTCCCCAGTTCTGTCTCTCGCTGGCTCTCACTCTCTCCAGCCTCCTCCTGTTTCGCTTCTCGCTCTCGGATTCTCGGAATATCAGGCGTCATTGGCACCAGCCCTCAAATCTCAATTGTTTGCGTCTGAGATAGGATCAATTTTTAGTAAAGTTCTTCTCTTTTGTTCTAAGGTAGGGGCTATATATGCTTTGTCTCTTTTAACTATTTTAGATGTTTTTTTCTTCTAAATTATTTTTACTGCTACCACTTTGCTATTTTCGAAAAATTGTATTAGAAAATTTCATAAGATTTCTTCCGGCTTAAAACTTAGTAAAATCTGTGTGAGTTTTATGGTGGGGGAAAGAAGATTGGAAATTGGGTGTTTCCCTGTTACGGCGTTTGGTGAATTTATATCTAGGAAGAGTAAGGGAATTGATTTCCATTTGGATCCAACCCTTGGTTTTTTTAAATTTTTGGAGCCCTTTGCAAGGGATCCGTTCTTGAGAAAATCTTGACTGGGTTTTGCATGCAATTTAATATTCTTGGGTTTTGAGGCCTTTCAATAGATTTGGTGATAATTCTGATTGCATTTGGTTGATTTTAGTGGATGTTCTTGATTTAGTCTGTTTTACTGTGGTTTTGGTTGTGTTTTCGCTAGCCATCTATTTTAGTTTGAAGGGATGTTGTAATTTTTATATAGTTTTGGATTTTGTTGAAAACTTGAGGTTATTCATAAAGAAGTTTGTCGGTTTTGATTAATCTGGAAATTCAGTTGAGAAAGAAAGTGGTACTTATAAATTTATGGCTGTTGGTTATTGGATTCTGAGTGTGTTTCTTAGAGAAGTTATAATGCACACTTTAGTTGATTGATAGTATCATATTCCATTTTAAGCTAGGATTATTAGTTAGGTTATGCTGCATTTGTAGTAGAAGATAAGATTTTTCATTTTTAAGACTTGTCATAAATGTTGAAACTTTAAATTAGTGTATGAATTTTATGTTTCAAAATATCGTCGGGAACAACTTCAACTAAATGAATTTGACTTTAATATTATATGTAAATTTATTATATTAGCTTTTAAATTTTAGCCCATGCGCCTAAAATTCGTGGTTCCGCCCTTGCTTGGGAGGCTGTGTTAAGTGGATTTTGGGTTATGGGTGCCTATAGCCAATTGAATGTTGTTTTGTAGCCTGCCACTCGTGTAATTGAAATTAACATGAAATTGCCAATTGAATGTTTTTACCAGTTGAACTTAGCAAGAAATTGCCAGTTGAATGTTTTTACCTTATGTATTTCAGCCTGCCAATTTGAATTACTGTGCAGTTGGACTTAACAAGAAATCAAGAATACATAGCTGTTATATTTGAAAGGCAAAGCTATCTTCTGTGCAATTGTATTTTGATGGTTATCAATTTTTACTTATGGAATATTGAAATGTTTTGGTTTTTTTGCTTTTAGATTTAATAGGGAAAAAGATCAACCTTCTGCTAAGAAAGGAAGAAACTTGTTATTTTTCTTTTCAAAGAGCAACAAATTTGAAGGTACTCTAATTCCTAGAGTGTCTATTCCTCCAATTTCATATCATGAAGTTGAACAACCTGCATCTTCCAATCTTGTTTTGGATCCATTTGATTCTATTAAATGGGTTCCAGGAAAAAGAAAGGAAATATATGAACATCCATTTAATGAACTCGATCCGTTTATACAAGACATTATCAACCAAAACTTTTAGAGTATTAGATCAAAGAATGTGGAAAGCCGAAACAATGAATATGACTTTTTTTTTTTGTTATACATAAGTTTTATTCATACATTAAATTTCTAAATATTTTTACCCTTATAATGTTAATTCGTAGTTTTGCCCTTGGGCCTATCATCCCTCTAGCTCTTCTATAATTCTCTACAATTTGTTATTGTCAAAGGTGAATTAATGGCAGAAGGAATGAAGACCCCAAGAAACGAGAATAGGTGGCAGCTGCGGCCACATTTGTCTAAAGAAAAAAATTACGAAGCTTTGAAGGAGTTGTTCAAACATCATATCGAATCCTTTGATTACATGGTGGAGTATGGTCTGGACACGATGTTGCAGAACATCAAACCCATAGAAGTTTTCGATTCATTCTCCAAACTGAAGTTGAGAAATATCCTTTTTCTGATAAATTGCTAAAGAAATAATCTTTTGACTGTGAAAAGAAATTTGGTTTGTATCATCATCTGGATTTCCAGTCACACTTCTCTGTTTTTGTACTCAATTTTTTAGTTTTCTTTGAATTTAATTGGTGTTTTTCTGGTTTTATTTTGATATTTAGCAGAACTAGCAAAATCTTAGAAAATGCTAGTCTTATTTTAATTTCTTGGAGTTTATGGATAAAAAGAATGACAGGATTGAAGTCAGTATATTGTACACACAGTTAATATAAATGAGGCTCGGGATATTCTTTCATACTGCTCTAACAGTGACCAACTTTTTCATCTATATTTGAATATTTATTCCATCAGACGTTGATTCTTAACCGACAATGCACTCTGGTTTGGAAAACCTGAGCTATATCCTCCTCAAAAGGAACGTTTTTCCCGGACCATGGCAGATGCTTTATATCCTTTTGAGGTATTTTATTTTGCTATTTTGGGTATTGCCATCCATATACTCAATATCATGCAAGAGATCGATGCATTTTTATGCCCATGTTATGAAACAGTGTAGACAAGCTAAACTTACTTATGCGGGGAAGTTTTTGGTGGACATTTACTTCCAGTATGCTGATGGAGCTCCCATTAGAGAAAAATTTAATTTTGGACAGTTTCCTATTATGTTGAAGGTAATTGTATCTAATTTTAGTTCAAAATTATATAAATCGCTTTTTTCTTACCATTACAGCAATTTGTAGGATAACTTATTTGGCAAGTATATTCTGATTTTTTCATTAGATATTAATTCCACCCAGTAGTGAACTAGTGGGAAATTTCATCCCCTTAGGTATGTGTACAAGTTGCTGTCATTTGGCACTCCTGCCTTTCGACCTTGTGTCGGTGAAATTTGGTTGTCATCATTTACATTTGAGTAGATGCATAGTGAGAAACAAGTTTTTGAGGACAAAATAAGTGACCAGTTATTGTTCTAAGACTGTGCTTGATGTCCTCTCTCGTAAATTGAGTTGATGGACTGATCTCTGGTTAAATTCGGGAAGGAATAGTTTTTAGTTATCTTTTATAAAATATTAGAGGAATGAATTTGTGAAGTCAAAACTAGTATGGGTAATATGTAGAAGCATTTAGGACATTACCGAATAATGGTAGTCCCATGAATGTACATGGTAAATACACATATTGCCATTTTTTATTTTATTTTATTTTATAAATGCTAAAGATCAGATACACGTTTTGCTTAAGCCATGAATTTTATTTAGAAAGTCTTTGTCTATAGTTTTAAATACTAAAAATTACTGATTGTTTTGGTTAGCAAGTCAGCCATGTATTTTGGTTATCCTGTCTCTGGATATGCAGGTCTTGTATATGTGGGCGACTTCTCTTATATTAGAAGTAGGCTTCGCCAACTATTGCTTCATTTGATGTTGCTGGGATGGAAGTATGGTTCTTAGACGTGGCTTGCTGGTCTTTTATGTGACAATTTTGCACAGATGATATGGTCACCATCCTATGGAATACTTGGGAAATGTTCAAGGGAACTCTGGTGTTAAGTGGTATGGTTCTTAGACGTGGCTTGCTGGTCTTTTATGTGACAATTTTGCACAGATGATATGGTCACCATCCTATGGAATACTTGGGAAATGTTCAAGGGAACTCTGGTGTTAAGTGGTATGGTTCTTAGACGTGGCTTGCTGGTCTTTTATGTGACAATTTTGCACAGATGATATGGTCACCATCCTATGGAATACTTGGGAAATGTTCAAGGGAACTCTGGTGTTAAGTGGTATGGTTCTTAGACGTGGCTTGCTGGTCTTTTATGTGACAATTTTGCACAGATGATATGGTCACCATCCTATGGAATACTTGGGAAATGTTCAAGGGAACTCTGGTGTTAAGTGGTGAATCTGGTGATCTTGAGGGGTGTTTTTCCTTTTGCACCATTAAGCCTGGATAAGCCCTTCAACAAAAAAGATAGTAGGAAACAAGTGTGAGAAGATTTTATGTCCCTTCAGGAAACATATCTAACTTTTTAGTTATGCTAGAACTTCCGTAACACCTAATAGCTGTTGGTTAAGAATAATATTTGATGTGATTGGATGGCCTAAACTCAACCAAAGTACCATGGAACCAACTGTATTATTGTATCTCTGTCACTACTTTTGCACTTTGCCTCCAAAGGAATCTTGAGAATATTTATGTTTTAGAATAGAGCGCCGAAACTTGCAGGATTTTTCATTATTTGATTGGGTAAAAGAGGCAAGCACATCCATCGACAGATGTCATTCCATCAGCTCCAAAAAATTGTAAAAGATAGAGAAAAGGGACCATGTTTGGGTGTTGTACCATTAGTATATATTATTGTGAAGAAAATACTTTACAAAACTCAGGCCATGACCTCCATTATTTCTCTCCTGTGGTGGCACTTTCTACCATCATCTTTTGCCACCCCAGTCTTCAGAACTTTTTTTATTTTTATCCCCTTAGTAGGAGGATTTTTTTCCAAAGATTGATAAACACCGATAAATGGATTATAAATCACCCCCTTACGTAGGTTTCGGTGCGTGGTGTAAGAAAGAACTGGATGACATGGCATGTTGACCATAATTGGACTTTCGGCCTTGTGCCAGCACAATCTCAAATACGGAATAAGCAAGCAACAAATGGATAAATGGATTATGAATCTTCTTCGCTTCAGTCTCGTGGTATAAGAACTAGATGAGTGACATGACATGTTGGCCATAATTGAACATCCGGCCTTATGTTTGTTACCTAAGTAGACATTTATTCTTTATGTCTCTATTTGGATATTGCCTAACATCAAAGATCTTACTTCTGTTTTATGTAGTCCAAACTCTGTCATCTGAAAGCTGCTGATCTTCCCAAAAAGTTAGTTTTGTACAAAGAAGATCCATCAGAAATGGGTGGGTGAGTAAGACGATTTTCACCCTCTATGTTCTTCAACTCTGCATTCCTTTCTGCACTTCTTTTGAATCTTCAAACTAGTAGCATTTGTCACCTTACTTTGTCATTTTTTGCCTGTAGATTCATATGTTATCTATATTTTCTGTAGATACTTCATCTTGAACGGGCTTGAGAGAGTGATTCGACTTCTTATTTTGCCAAAGAGAAACTATGTGAGTAATTATTTACACCGGTGAACAGTTACTGATTCTGATATGAAAAGAACTGAGGTTCTTAGTTATCCAAAATTTTTGAGGACCGTGTAATATATCATTCTTGCTATGTAGTTTGAATACTGTCATATATTTTTCTTTTCTTCTGGTTCTTTATAAATTTTTGTCTCTCTCTCTCTAGCCAATGAGCATGGTGCGTAATTCATTCCGTGACAAGCGTGAAGGATATACTGATAAAGCTGTTGCAATAAGGTATTTGTTTTTTGCATCCATATCTATATTTTGGCTTAACCTAGTTGTTTATTTCTTTTCAGTTTTTCAATATGAATTATGAGACCAGCTTGTAGGTCAACAATTTGTTATCTTTTAAGCTTGTATTTTGATCTTTACTATGAGCAACAAACCAGGGCAGAAATTCTTTGAAGAATTTTCCCAAGTGTTTTTAATAGTGAGTCGGGGTATTGTTTTTCCTTTTAAGTCGAGACTTATCTATTGTCACCTGGCACAAAATGAAATAATATGCAGTTGTCATCTAGTTGTTTACTGAATATGTTGAAACAAATGTAGTACGTCCTAAGTTTCTTTGGAGACAGAGCTTTTTGCTTCTTAACATCTCTAATTTGTGTTGCTTCCGGTTGGGATGTGGGTAAAATATTTACTTGTAGAGTTTTTCCTGTCAATAATAATTTTGTGTAATTTTTGAATATGCAGAAGCGTTCGACAAGATCAATCTGCAGTGACAATCAAATTATACTACCTCAACAATGGAAGTGCGAGGCTTGGATTTTGGTGAGAATAACAACTTATAATTTAGTGGACTTGAGCTTCTATGAAGAAATTAACTCCCTTTTTCCAGGATACAAGGAAGGGAATATCTGCTTCCTGTTGGAATCATATTGAAGGTGCAGTTATACCTTTTACTCTAGTTAAGATTGATATGGTAGTTATAAACTTGGAGGTTTCTTGATCAGTCCCAAAACATGTTCATTACATTAGAAATATTTGGTGAATTTGTTTGTTTTTCTTGGTAGAAACAAGCTCTCACCTGTAAAACTTGACAATGAGTTTACTTGGTCATATTGCATCATCTTGGGAAACTAAAAATGCGGAGGGAAGATATTTTATTAACTGTGGTCCTTGTAGTCTTTCCTTTAGGGGAAGGATCGTGAATTACTGAATGCTGTCTTATGAACCGTAAAACAAGAACAATATATAATGAAGCTTCAAGGAGCAATAGAGAAGAGGAAATAAGAAGTAAAGAAGTGGTAAAGAAAACTAAAAGCTGGAACAGGAAAAATGTGAAAGGATATTGAGCTAAAAGAAACATTTGATAATATTACAAGATTATGATTTTCTACAAGCAATATGATTACATATTGCACTTCTTACTCTTTATCTTTTTGTTTTAGGCCCTTGCGGACACAACTGATCATGAAATCTATGTGAGTTTAACATGTTGCTACAACGAGCTATATGATCGGGTTAAGGGAAGTGTTGGCACTCAACTCATTGGCGAGAGGGCAAAAATTATTTTAGATGAACTTCATAACTTGTCTCTTTTCACGCATGCTCAATGTTTGCAACACATAGGTACTTATTAATCGTAGTTTCTTTTATTGTGAATATATATGTTGATTGCATCCATTGAATCCCTTCATTCTGCAGGGGAGCACTTCCGACCTGCCATGGCAGGAATGGAAAATGAAAGCTATTTAACTGTAAGTTCTTGTCTTTTATGCATGCTATATTATTAGTAATGTAGTAAACCTTTCAAAAAAAAAAAAGAAGTAATGTAGTAAACATATACCCATTTCTGCATCAAAAGGGTGGCATATATCCAAGTACAACTATGCTCCTTGGTCAATAAGTAAAGTAGGATTTGTACCCATTTTGCACAAAAAGGGTGGCACATGTGAGCAAGTGCAACTAAGCTTCTTGGTCAATAACACTCACTATATACACTTTAGTTAGAGAACAATTGTAAGATCCCACAGCATGGCCTGAATAAAGTGATAATTGTGATTTACATCTTGGGAAAATTTAAGTAAAAGATAAAATAAAATGTAGAACCTTTCTCACACTGGAGCAGCGTGCGTGGAGACTCCAAAAGTTCTGGAAAGATTGAAGTTGATGATAATTGAAATACGATGCTTTCTCACATTGGAATGGCTTTATGTGGTTCCCCACTTCTAGTTACGTTTATCTTGGTTTAAACCCTTTTGCAGGTTGCTGAGGCCGTGTTAAGAGATTACATATTTGTTCATCTGGATAACAACCACGACAAGTTCAATCTCCTCATGTTAGCTTTTTTTTCTTAAACCTGTGTCAAATCTATTTTTACCGATCACTAGTGGCGTGCTTTTTATCTCCTTTCATATCTAGACTTCCAGTCACTATATCATTGGTGTATTTTTTTAATTTTATTTTTGTCTCTAAAAAATTTCTGTTAGTAACTTACTCGTGGATTGGATTCAGCTTTATGTTGCAGAAACTTTTCTCTCTCATAGATCAGACTTCTGTGCCAGACAATCCAGATTCTTTGCAAAACCAAGAAGTTTTATTGCCAGGCCACTTAATAACTATTTATCTCAAGGTTCACACTTTGGTGCTTTATTTTTTGGAAATGTGATATAGATATATTGAATTTTGTATAGTAGTTGAAGTATGTCTTCATGGAATGTTTATTAAAACACTGTCTTTATCTAATGTGTGTTTCTTCTATGTCGCATAGAGATCTGTATCGTGGAAACTTATTCCAATTTTCATCATCTAACAGATGGAAAGAACTTGGTACATGTTGGAATTATTTGATATTACTTGGCAAATTTAACTATCATTATCTGAAATGTATTCAAGAATACTTAAAGTACTTGTTTACAAATAATTAGCAAAATCATATGATACTTTTGTTAGTTCCAAAAGAAATTATGATACTGTTGCTGCACAAATTTTGTGCATCTGTCACTGGGGAGTTAGTTCTTGGCTCTATTGAAAGTTAGGCATCTGTCTTTGCACAAAAATGAAGCAGGTGATTTGTGATTGCAAGCTAAAATACATTTGCTTGTAACGTGGCACTGAAAGACAAAATCTGTATCTGATGAAATTTTGTACAAACTGGCTAGTTATTTTAACAGAATCCATTTTATGGTGAATGCTTCCCAGCCACAAGTCAGCAGCTGCCAGCTTCGTTCCTTAAAAGCTCTTGTTATTTATCAGGAAGGCAAATTTAAGTGACTGTGTTATAGTTGTCCTTTTTTTTTTTTTTTTGAGCCCTTAGTCATTTTAGATTGTTCTGCTCTTCTGATAGTGTCGAAAGCTGAAAAGATAAATGCTTTCAAGCAAACTATGAAGCCACTTTTTAAAAAATAAGTTCCTTTCCTGAATACCTCTTTTTGTGTGATAAAGTGATTAAACAAATTACAGTGGTTGCACTCAACACTGTGTAAGTTAACATATATATGTTGTTCTGATTACACTTATACTTCGATTAGGGCGCATGTCATGTGTTGTGTCATGTTAGATACCGATAGTCCGTGGACAATCTACCATAGTTATTATCCTTTTGTTGGCAATAATAATATATAGTTCTAACTTGAAGTTATTATAATATAACAGTAGGTACTAAAATTTAAACAAGAAAAGTAATAATTAGTATAAAACTAAAGTTACATTATATAAATGAAGAATTTTAAAAACTTTAATCAGCATGTTGACGACATGTCATGTCGAACATGTGTCCATTTTGGTGCATTATAGCTAAGATAGTCGATTTTTAAAACTTGTTTTGTCTTTTTTGTGTGCCACAGTAGCTCTATATTTTGTTAAGTGCGCTATATGAAAATTCATGAAATTTAATGTTCCAGGAAAAGTTGCAAGACTGGTTGCTCAGGGTGAAACGGCTTCTTCAAGATGAAATTGATAATGGAACAAAGAAGTTTGAGTTGAGCAGCTGTACGTCTAATCTTTATTTGAATTTTACCTTGTTCAATTTGTATCGTAGAGTTTTTAATGAGGAACTGATAATATTACTTTTTCAAATTTACACCCTCACGTGGCATGAATATAATGGCAAAGGATTCGACGGCATTTGAGTTTATTTCTGATGCTCTTTCTAGACCACTTAAATTTTCTTTCTCGGAAGCGTCGTGTTGTTTTCATTGTTGTTTGTCGTCATCATACCACAATGATATAGGCGTCACTTCAAAGCTAAAGATTTTAGTTTCTGGTCTGGTTTTGTTTGTTATATATAAGATTGAAGTTTGAAATTGGTGGACTAGCAGCTGTTATTTTTTAGAGTCCCTAGAATTTGTTGGTTTTAATGTTTGTCTGTTTTATAAACCCTACGGTGTTGGAACTCTGGGTATAGATTTTGACGAAAAGTCTTTGTGCCATCTTAAACCGAAAAATTTCACGATTGCTTACCATAAACATCATGGTAGCAACCATGAGCATGCATTGTAACAGTTTGTCATAATTTTATTTTTCTTATTTTTTTTTTTTTTTTAATTTGACTCGTATCTTGGTGCCATGCACTTGGGCATCTCATTTGCTGTCATGATTGTCGAATCTGTATTCAGATTTTTTTTGTAGGACATCCATTCAGATGTTTCACTATATGTATGTGTATATTTGTTGATCTGATAAAACTATCCTTTTCATGTATAATTGCTTTCTTTGTCTTGCTTGAAGCAAATATCCTAAGTTCTTCTTTAAAATGTCAGTAAATGAAATTCATCTTTCTGGCTTACATTTTGTGGAATCTCAGTGTTGGATTGACATTTTCTAGGCTTTGTTTGATTATGGCAGTAGCAGATGTCAAAAAGGTCATTGATAAAAATTCTCCGAGGCATATTAGCGCAGCTGTGGAAAATTTGTTGAAGACAGGAAGATTGGTTACACAATCAGGTCTGGATTTGCAGCAGGTATAGATGAACTGATATTCTTCTTCATCTTTGTCAGTCAACAATTATCAATATATACACACACCATATATCTACATTTTTATAAATCATGGTGTGGTGTATCTGGAGTTGTCTGTTTGAACATACTGAATTATATTACTGCTCTGTTATTAAGTATTTAAATGTTGTAAAATGCTTTCTGAAAAAATGACTTATTTTACATTGGAAATTTGTATGAGAAGTTATGAACGGCATAAAGCTAGTGTTGGAAGTTGAACAATGTAATAGGGCTCTGATACTCGAAGTACTTATTTATCTGCAACTTGAAATGTGAATTTGTAATACCAATTCTGTACAGGAATTATTTGCATTGGAACTGTAAATTTGGACAAGATTTGTTGCTAAAGCATTAGTTATATTGTATCAAGTTCGAATACCTTGGGGGATTGATTGACACTGGCAGATAAATATCATCCTACTAATCTACCATGTGAAATATCGTACAGTAGTTTTTTATGGTATTCTGTGCCTAACAACATTTGTGCTCTATAATTGAATATCGTATCTATTTGCTTGTGGTGTTTGATGAGACTCTTGTTTGTTGACCATTTTTTTGGCTCAATTTGGTATAGAACTGCTCTTGGTTGTATCATGAAACCATTGCTCCAGCTTAAATAATTGTAATTTACTTGAAACTGTTTTAGTTACTAAAAATTACTTTGTACTCTGGATGTTCCCCGTGTTTATGCATATCTTACTGAAGATCATTCTAGAAAAGTTAGTTATTTATGTTTTCTTCTTTTCTTTTGTGTGTACTTATGGTTATTAGAGAGCTGGGATGACTGTTCAAGCAGATAGACTAAATTTTCTGCGTTTTATCTCACACTTTCGAGCTGTTCATCGAGGTGCATCATTTGCAGGCCTTCGTACCACAAGCGTTCGCAAGTTGTTGCCTGAGTATTTCCTCCTTACCTGTTACCTAATTACTTGATAACATTTGGTTATTTTATGCAGTTCCTTCTTTTTATCTCTTCATACTCGTTTACCACTTCATATTGTTGTGTACTCTCCATTTCTCTGACATATATTATACTTACAGATCTTGGGGATTTCTCTGTCCTGTTCATACACCTGATGGAGAGCCATGTGGACTGCTGAATCATATGACTTCGTCTTGCCGTAAGTATAGCCTTTAGTGTTTTCTTAAAATTTTTTTCCTTTGAAATGCTAATAATGATTATTGTCTTGTAGTTTCCTTAAATCATTATAAATAAAAGAACAGTTCATCGAGACGAAAAGCCTTTGACTGCTCTCTCTAAAAAGGCTCTTATTTTGGAAATTGCTTTCCTTATAGTTAATTTTTCTGCATGGAGTCATGTTATTCATGGACCAACCATTCAGAACATTCAGTTTGATATTCTATGACCCGTTTAGCATGACTTTTACTTTTGCTTTCAGTAGAAGAGATTTTGGAGAAAGTTACCTTAATTTTTGTTTTAAAACTAATTTTTTAAAAGAGTTTCCTATTCTGAAGTGCTTTTAGAGGAAGCCACATTGGACCAGCTTTCTCTAAAAACTCTTCTAGCTAAAAGAAGTACTTTCATAAAATTAGTTAAATGGTGCAAAAGTAGCTTTTAGGTCTTAAAAGATCCTTTTGGTTTTTCAAAAGTCATGCCAAAATGGCCATTAGTCATTTAAACAGGAACTCAATTGTTATTTTGAGATTTTTATGAATGGATAGCAATGAAGAAAATGTTTTGAAATGAGGAAAAGAAAGCACTTGCATTCACATGTTCAATGTGCATTTTAGGTTTTCCATACCTTCCAGTTTAAGAGCATAGCAGCATCTTATCTCCCTGCTGTTTCACTCTAGTTCTTTAGTTGGGCTATTGAGATGAAAAACCATGAATGCTTATTGCTTGACTACAAGACAACAGAGTTTAGCAGATAAGGACTCCTGAGATCAGTGAAGTAATTAGTGCAGTCTTGAGATAGCTAAGGATGTGTAATGAAATATGTAATTATTTTTTTTCCAGATTCTACGTAGAATATGAATTGAAGTAGGCATTGAATATGAATCCTTTAAAGCAATGATTAATACGAACTATTTATGGCTCAATAAACTCAAATTACGATACCTAGTCCTGTTTAACTATTGAACTACTCTAATCTGCATTACGGATATTTGTTGGATGACCATGTTTCTATGTACATGATCTTCATTGTCAATGTTTCCTGTGAATTTAATTTATAACTTGCATGAACTCACACACACACACCAGCACATAATTTGGAACTATTAAGGGTAAACTCAAATCAAATTGCATGATGGCCTCCTGTATTTGTCAATTTGAACTATAATAACAGCGAGTCTAATATTTGTTTGATGATCATATTTCTGTGGGTTTTTTCTGCCCTTTGTAATTGTTCCCCCATCAAAACTATTTTTTTTTT